TAGGTGTGTTTGCTACCTTTAGTTATTTATAAAAATAATAAGGGCAGAACAAAAATAAAATATTTAATTTTTTTTGCAAAAGACAAAGAGCATTCTGCAATAAAATTTTATTTTATTTGCATAGCATTGGCATAAGCAGGTTTCCATGTATTTCTGCATATTTCAACATAATTGGTTTAAATGGAGATACGATGCATGTCACTTAGTTTGATCTCCTATTTTGTTATCATAGTTGATGGTCCCCTTGCAGTTTCCTTTTCTTTCTTTCTTCCAACATGCTTTATCTTTAAACTACCTTGGATTCAGCCCTTCAGAAAAAGCACCACTCTCTGAAAAATAAAATTCATCCCTGCTCTATATTCTGCCAGTATTTTTCAGAGTTCGTCTTGTATGAATGAATTTTTATTTTTCTGTTTTTTTATTTTTCTATCTGTATTTTTGATCAGGGCCTGGGCTTATAATTAACTGCTTATTATAGCTAGTGTAAAGTAGTAGTTAAGGTGCTAGATTAGGGATGAGGGACCCAGCTCCTAGTTCTCACTTGGGTACGAGGTCAGTTAGATGACTTTGGGTTAGTTCCTCTCTCAACGGGGAGGGGGAATAATGGTCTACCAACCTGCCCTGGACCTCATGATAGATTAGTCTGTAATTCTCAATGCTGGATTGTTCATGATGGAGAATGGAATAGCCTCTGTGTGGGAGCATGTGTGTATGTGTATAATAAAAAATAAAGGCTATTCAGTGCCACATGCTGTTAAATTAAATGCTATCTAATTGCAGTTTTGGTTGGTTTAATGCTTTGTATTGATCTCAGTCGGAGGGCTTAGTGGTTAATTTTCCCTTGCACAGCCTCTCTATCATCTGCCCCATGTCAGTTTCTTTTCCTATATAGGGAATGATGGGTGCTTTCTTCTTTTGCCACTGTTTGCATTTTCTTTCAAGAAATATTGAAGTAGTTTGATTATTACTTCCTATTTTAGTGTTCCTTAGTTTTGATAAAATTTTCATATTTCTGTTTGCCATTTCTGCCATCTGATCTAATTTCCATTTCCAATATGCATTTTTTCCCTTTACATTATCCTTCAGGTTTCCTGTTCCTTCTCTGTTTTTTAAAGTTTGGGCTCAACCCATTTAGGGTTTCAAAGGCCGAACTCAGAATTTTAAACTGAGCCAAAATATTAATTGGCTGATTGTACACCTGCTGAACATGACTGGAAGAAAATAATCCATATTTTGTTCATTTAACTTTTCCAAATATACTCCCAAAGCTGTACAATTGCTAAAATTCCATGAATCCAGAGATAACTTAGATTGCATCTCTGGGAAAGGCCATAATTGGTAATCATAAGGTATCTTAGCATCTGAGGAAATTGGTAGATCCAGGGCCACCTTCAAATTGTCTCTTAAAATCATTTACTTCGATTGAATTTCAGTTTATTTCCCCTGATTTGTTCCTAATTTGTAAAGTTTACTGCCTCTCTTGGATCCCCAGATGTGAGCCAAATCTAATACACATATTAATGTTTTGGGGTTTTTAATATAAATTTTCTTGGATTAGTTGCTTACTTTAGTTGCATTATTGTTTGTCAGCTACCCAGAGTCCTTTGGTGTTTGGAGTGGCCTTGAAATGCCATTAAATACATGCATTTCATTCCAAAGCTTGAAGAACAATTTCATTCTATGTTAAATAAACAGCATGAGATGGAATTCACATTTTGTGGAATAGAATGGTAACTTCCTTTAATAAAATGAGAGCAATAACCAAACAAATAGTTGAGTTCACACCAAATTTATCCATATTATTTGTGCTTAATGGAAGGTACAAAAGGTTTCAAAACAAGAACCATATTATTTTCCTGTTTTTAGCAGCAAAGGCTCTGACTGCTTACCATTGGAAATATCTGGATAATCTTGCTTGAGAAAAATGGATAAGGTTTATTCTTTTGCCCTGCTTGAGAAGTCTCCGATAACATCCACCAACACAACACAAAATGCAAAGTCCTTAAAACACAAAATGCAAAGTCCTTATTGACAGAATTTTATCAGTTTTATAAAGGACTTCCATAAGGATGTATGGAAAATTTAAATGTCCTGCAGTAAGAATGCAAAAACTGTTGTGTGTAATGTAATGTATAGAAACTTAATATCATTGCTTTTAAATAGTCAGCCATATAAATTGCTTACTAAATAAATAAATAAATAATGTAAAAATCAAATAAAATATGGTACACATAGTCCCAGGTCTTTTTATGGCCACCTTTCCAAAAAGGAACACAATATTTTATTGCTATAATCATTGCATTGTGACATCAACATAAACTTGGTGGGTGGGGGGCAAGTCTAGGAGAGATTGTGTGTTTGCCCAGTATCAAAAGGGCCACGTTGGGATTGAGGGGAAGACCAATTAGAGGATTGCAGCCACAGATTGGAAGAGAAGATTTAAAAGAACAAAGACATGGTTGGGTTTAATTCCTTAGAATTAGGTGGCTTTTCAACCATGAGTTATTGTACACAAATAGTGATATTGCTCTCCAAACCTTTTAAGAATCCCCAGTAAGTGGTGGAAGTGAGATGGTCACTTACAGAGAAGGTACATCTGTGTACAATCTTTGGTCAGTCCCCAACACCAGAAGTCTTCAGAATCTTTCAAAGCAGTGCTGGGAAATCTGCTTGGAGATTATCCCAGACAATGAAAGCCCATAAAACAAGACCCTTTTATATGATCACAGCCCTGCTTTGGCAGCACAGGTATTTTCAATATGGTGTGTTGGATCTTCTGTTCTCTGTGAGGCCCTTGGTGTTTTCAGAACTTGGTTGTTTTCTTCCTTGGGGGGAAGGATTGATCCACTCCAGAACTTCAGGGTTTGACAATTCATTACCCAAATACTTAGTCTCATCAGTGCTTGATGATGCAGTGCAATATACAAGTGGCCTGTCCTGTCATTTTTGGTGAAGTGATCTTGGTGGTTCCTTGATTAGACTGTTTGATTGGTTGTCTGAGATGTTAGTTTCTTGATTGAGGTATTGTTTACTATTATTGGGTAATGAAATGTCTGCAAGAAAGCAACTATGTTTGGAGACCCCCAAGGACCCCACAGTTAAACTCTGAGCTGCAAGTATTCTCTTTTATTGATTTTTTTGTGCTCCAGTGAACACTTAGAGGAGCTCAGTTTTGTAAAAAGTTGATTTCATATATAGTGCAACTTTGGGGTGTAGATTAGGATGCAACCAGGATGATTAGGAGACTGGAGGCTAAAACATACAACGAACGGTTGCAGGAACTGGGCTTGGCTAGTCTAGTAAAGAGAAGGACCAGGGGAGACATGATAGCAGTCTTCCAATATTTGAGGGGCTGCCACAGAGAGGAAGGGGTCAATCTATTTTCTAAAGTGCCTGTAGCCCAGGTAAGGAATAATGGATGGAAACTGAACAAGGAGAGATTTAACCTGGAAAAAAGGAGAAATTTTCTGACAGTGAGAACAATCAACCAATGGAACAGAAGTTGCCCTCGGAAGTTGTGGGACCGCCATCACTTGAGACTTTCAAGAAGAGATTGGACTGCCATTTGTCAGAAATGGTGTAGGGTCTCCTGCTTGAGTGGGGGGTTGGACTAGATGACCTACCAGGTCCCTTCCAATTCTGATTATCTGTATCTGTATCTGTAAATTCAGAAAAGTGAAAAGAATAAAATCATTCGCATTTTAGGGCAGAAGTTCAAAAGACATTTGAATGGTTGCTTGAAAGTAACAAGCTTTTAAGAACTTAACTAGATGAATAATTTTAATGCATGATGAAGGGATCAAATCAATTGTCGTGTTGCCAAAGAGCGGCACCCGCTGCTAGCATGAATATATCAGTACCTAATGCATATATTTTGGGAGATCCAGTATTCTCCTTGCTATGAATGTATGGTAATTCTGGAGATCTTCCTTGGTACCAGGGGCCATTTGTAATTGCTTATGCCCCCACACCAGTTCAGACACAAAGGCTTATATAATTGGGCTCTGAAGGCCTCTAGTTCATGCCACATAATTACCCTGACCAGCTCAGGGGCAGTCTGATGCAGCATTTAAAAACTTCATACCACTGACACAATGGTATTTGGATCTAATTAGACTTTAATTTGATGTCAATTTAAATTAAGAGGCCTTGCACATACTAGCCCATTGTGACTTGGGTAATACTAATCTCAATCAGTAGGCTGAATACAACATGAAGTCAGATTCTCACAGTACAATAGAAGTGACAGGAGCAACTTGACACTTTAAATTAAAATTACTAAATTCCAAGCAATTGATGTGTGTGACCCCAAGCTATAACAGGATAGGTCATTAAATGCGATCCATAGAAATTGAGCTGAGAAGCAGACTGTAATGAATCAGGGAAGGAAACCAAAGTGCTTTGTTAGCAGGCTGTGTAGGTGGAGCAAGCAAGAAGCATTGCAATGAAAGAAATAACTTGATGAATGGATGTTTCCCATGCTTCTTCAAAACAGTCTGAAAAATCATGGCAACCAAGTTTTGCCCATTAGGGCAAAAGGATGAAAGAAATAACTTAAAACCCCTGTTATTATCTTTTCAGATGCAATGGTTAATAGATTTCTGGTTAATGAAATTAAACAATTTTTATTTCCTGTAATTCAAATATGACAGATGTTTTAATTTCAAATAGATCAGTATCATAACAAAAATTGAATGTCCTGTAGCTTTTCTGTTTAAGAAAGACTACATATAATATGTGTATGTGATTTGGCATGCAGTTACAAAATTATATATCTTCTTTTGTGTGAAAGAAGCTATTACTTCGGCATGTCTTACTATGTTAAAATACATGCCTGGTAAAGGTTCATAATTGAACCCAGAGTCGAGCAGCTCTGTGCCTCCGTGTCGATAGTCTTCCTTGTGGTTTCTCAAAATAGTGAGGAGGATACTGTAGATTTAAAATTATCACAGAATTCTCAGTAACATGGTTAACTGTGGCTCTAACTTCTTTCCTTCAAGCACTGTGACTTCAGCTGTTTTCACTGTGGGAGACAATGTGGTTTCAGGTAGTGATGATCGTACTGTGAAAGTTTGGGACTTGAAAAATATGAGATCACCCATTGCTACTATTCGCACAGACTCTGCAGTAAACAGGTAAGCCATACTTCATTTAATCTGGTAGGCATTTGTTTAATAAAAAGTGGTACTCCAATCACAACATAATTTAAGATTTAGTAGAAAACAGCTACTGCTTTGAAATGCCTGTTTTTCTTAATTCTTCCTGAAATGCATTGTTGAGGTTACATGTCTTTGGCATCATTGTTTGAAAAATAGCATTCTAGTGTGGCAGCTAAGGACTGACTTCATCTAATCAGTTGTGGTATTTTGTAACTATGGTTGCTGCTCTAGCCTCTTCTGTATAAGGGAATTATGAATTATGAAGAGTATGAATACTGTTTAATTGAGAAGGGAAGGTAATATGGGTTTGTGGTTTGAAAGGCGGTTTTTGGATTGATATCCCATCTTTCTTCAAAATTGCCTGAAAAAAATATGGCAACAAAGCTTTGTTCATTAAGGCAAAAGGTTTTATAGCCTTTTGGACCATTTTTGCAGTAAAAGCATATCAGGCTCTTAAATTAATGCAAATTGATTATATTTTTTTAGTATTTGAGGGTGTGGAATGTTTATGATCTGCATGTTCATTGCCATATTGTGATGATTTGAAAAATTTAAATGCAAAGGATCTATTTATACTAGCGTTTTCTCAATCTCGGCAATTTTAAGATGGATGGACTCCAGAAGTTGAAATCCACTCATCTTAAAGTTGCCAAGGTTGAGAAACCCTGGTCTACGCAGCTAAAGTACTTCAAATGAATTGATGCAATTTTTCTATTCAGCTGGTTTTAGTAGCGGCCTCCAGTGCTCATTAAGTCCTACCTCCAGAGCAGGTTTTCTTTCTGAAGGGAATCAGAATGGACCTTGTCTCTATAAGTGTGAGCTTCAGAGGGGTTTTTCTGTCTTTAGCAAAAGACTATGTGGGTGCATCTGGTGATGTCTTTGTGAATGTCTATGATACCATCAGTGCCAGAAACCAACCATTTTTTTTTGGTAGAAAATAAAATTATATTTGTGGGAACTGTGTGTAGCATGAAATTCCAATTAAATCACTTTCAGTGGCCTTGAACTACTGTCAATTCCTGGCAGGCTGTCTAATTTATTTTTTTATCTCCTCTGCACAGGATTAATGTTTGTGTTGGGCAAAAAATCATTGCCCTTCCACATGACAACCGACAGGTTAGATTATTTGACATGTCTGGAGTGCGATTAGCACGTCTTCCTCGCAGCAACAGACAGGTAGCAGAACTTTAGCTATTTCTTTAACATCTCTCTCATTCTCCCCTTAAGTTGTTTTTCTGCATGTTACAAAATATATATTATTTAGTTGAAGCATAGCATGTTGTTGCAGAAAACCAGTTGTCATTAAACTAAAAACACTTATCCTCCTTTCCTGTACAGATAGACCTTGACTTACAACCCTAATTGAGCCCAGAATTGTTGTTGAAGTTATTGCCGTCATAAGTTGAGGCATCAGTTACAACCATTTTTTTACAATGGTCATTAAGTGAATGCTACAATCATTATGCAAATACTGCATTTAAGTGAATCCATTTTCCCCAGTGGGCAATTTTGCCAGAAACTGGAAGTAAACACTGAGAACACGCAAAAAATAATAATAATTGCAATTGTGCAGTCACATAACCACAAGACACTGCAAACAGTCGTAAAGATGAGCTGGTTGCTAGGTGCCCAAAATGTGATCTTGATCATGTGACCGCCCAAGTGTACATGTGGCAGTTGTAACTTCAAAAATGGGTCATAAGTAGTTCTCAGCAGGGGTGGGCGGGCATCATCTCTTAAAATGGGTTTTAGGCAACTGGTTATATGTCAAGGACTAATAGCATATATTAATCTAGTCTTAGTCTAACATTTCAGCTGCTTGCGATTGTATAAAACTGTTAAAACATTGAATTAGGACTAAGTTGGTCAATTGAGTGAAGTCATTGTAACAGCCAAACTCTCTCTCACAAAAGTATTTTTTTCAAGGCTCTTTAACATACTACATTTAACTTAATGGTTTGCAAAAAACAAAAAACTTAACTCGATATATAGATTTTTGAATGTATCACTACTTTATGTGCTTTTACATCTAAATAGCACAGTGTATAAGACACTGTTCCTTTTGAGAACTGCGGTTACATTACACTAGATTGATGAAGGATCAAGGGAAGTACTAATACCACTCTATAAAGCCTTAGTAAGACCACACCTAGAGTACTGCATCCAGTTTTGGTCACCACATTATAAAAAAGATGTTGAGGCTCTAGAAAAAGTACAGAGAAGAGCAACCAGGATGATTAGGGGACTGGAGGCTAAAACATACAACGAACGGAACTGAGCTTGGTGAGTCTAGTGAAGAGAAGGACCAGGGGAGACATGATAGCAGTCTTCCAATATTTGAGGGGCTGCCACAGAGAAGAAGGGGTCAAGCTATTTTCTAAAGCGCCTGTAGCCCAGACAAGGAATAATGGATGGAAACTGAACAAGGAGAGATTTAACCTGGAAATAAGGCGAAATTTTCTGACAGTGAGAACAATCAACCAATGGAACAGAAGTTGCCCTCGGAAGTTGTGGAAGCGCCATCACTTGAGACTTTCAAGAAGAGATTGGACTGCCATTTGTCAGAAATGGTGTAGGGTCTCCTGCTTGAGTGGGGGGTTGGACTAGATGACCTACCAGGTCCCTTCCAACTCTGATTATCTGTTAAATCTGCTGTACATTTTTAATTATGCTGTTCTCTATGCATAGAATTCAGCCCAAACCAATTTTTAAACAAGATCTATAAAAAATTTATTTCAACATACAGGTAATCCTCGACTTACAACCATCTGTGTTGCTAAGCAAGACAGTTGTTAAATGAATTTTGCCCCATTTTGTGACCTTTCTTGCCATAGTTGTTGAGCAAATCGCTGCAGTTAAATTAGTGACATGATTGTTAGGTGAATCTGGCTTCCCCATTGACTTTGCTTGTCAGGTCTCGAAAAGTGATCATATGACCCTGGGACACTTCAACTGTCATAAATGTCACATGAATCAGTTGCCATGCTTCTGAATTTTGACCACATGACCATGGGGATGCTGCAACCATCATAAAGGGTGAAAAATGGTCACCATCATTTTTTACAGTCCCATTGTAACTTCAAACGGTCATTAAATGAACTGTTGTAAATGGAGGGCTACTTGTATTGTCTTGATTCACTTAGTAAATAACTGGAACTTAAAAAAATATTCAAAGAGCTTAACTTTCACTGAATAGAAAATGTGTTTTCTATTTTTCTTTGTTTTAATGCTATATTTTTTTAAAAAAGAAAAACTGAACAACTTCTATGTTTTCAAAATTTCTGAGGGACTATCTCTGTTCCTCAGATTCCCAAACATCTATGTACCTGATTTCATTTCAGCCATAGTTTTGGTGATAGTTATCTAAAAAATAAAATATAATTTTGCTTGCTTACTGATTCCTTTTTGTATGGTCAATATTCTGTCTTGGGATACATGTTTGGAAAGTAGCAGATTTTGGCAGTGTAAACAAGCAATCCTCAACTTACAATCACAGTTGGGACCAGAATTTCCATTCCTAAGCAAGGCGGTTGTTAAGTGAATTGTGTCTAATATTATGACCTTATTTACCACAGTTGTTGAGTGAATCAGTGCAGTTATTAAGTGAATCGTATGGCTGTTAAGCAAATCCAGCTTCCCCTATTAACTTTCTTTTGGAAAGCCAGGTGCAGAGGTCACAAACCGAGACTCCATGATCCTGCCATTGTAAATGCATGCCAGTTGCCAAATGCTCAAATTTTGTTATTTTGTGACTGTAGAGTACCAGTTGCAGGTCACTTTTTTCAGTGCTTCAAATTGTTGCTAAAGAACTATCTGTATAGCCTAATAAGAAAGGCAGAAAAAAGAACCAAGCAAAGTCTAATACTGTCCTTTTTGTTTCCCCAGGGTCATAGAAGAATGGTCTGCTGCTCAGCATGGAGTGAAGATCATCCAATATGCAACCTCTTCACTTGTGGATTTGATCGTCAGGCTATTGGATGGAACATCAACATCCCTGCTTTGCTTCAGGAAAAATGAGAAGTTCTCCTCATGTTTCCCTAGTTTTATTGCCACAGACTTTGTGCAGACTTTCTTGTGAGCTGCAGTCAGTATAAAAGGCGCACTTTGAAAAGGGCGGTGGGTGGAATTGCAAATATTGTTACTGCATTGTGCACAGTTGCATGAAATGTACAGAAAAAAATGTGACCTTTTCAAAGAAGTTAGGCCAATGTTTCTGAACCGTAGCGACATTAAGGCGTGTGAATTTCAACTAGAATTCCCCAACCACCATAGCTAGCTGGGAAATTCTGGGAATTGAAGTCCACACATTTTAAAGTAGCCAAGGTTAAGAGACGTTGAATTAGGTTCTTGTGTATGAACTTTTTTTTATCTTGATATCCACCGGTGTCTAGAAGGACACTTAGCTTTACTATGGAGCATATATGTTCGCAGGTTACTCATTCTAGTTGAATGTTAGGGCATTAAGCAGCTTAAATATGAATTCTATGTACTTCTCATGAAAAATATATAGTTCACCTTTCCCACATCACATTACACATTTGCCCTGTGGATAAAAGAGAATATAAAGTTACTCTTTAAGATGAAGGAGGGAGCAGTTTGCTATAATGGGTAGCTGAGCTTTTCTTGCATCTATATACAGTATGATCTGAAGATTTAAATATAGTATTAATTTCAACTCCTAGTATAGCTTAGTTACTGAATTAAAAACAAGGGTCAGGGAAGAAAACTATAAATATATGCATCAGATATAAAATGTTGGATTGCCATATTGGGAATACTCCTGTAGGTTTCAAGATCTATTTAAATTATTACACTCCTGGTCTGAGGAACCACTCTCTGTGTCAGATTCTCACATAAGGCAAATGACAATATTTTACAATCATGCAAATCTGAATAAGTTCTTAAAGCACTTTAGTTTAGATATAAACCCCAAATATCCAGTTACATTTCCTGGAGAATGTGAGACTTGTATCTAAGAAGGATTTTTCTTACTAGGTTTTTGTGAATATTTTAAAGCTGGTGAGTAAATCTTGTTATTATACTTGTTTTTATTTTTTTAAAAATACACCGATGTTTTAATGTAAATTGACATAATTCTCTTTGAGCCAGGGACAACACAAGGCCATGTCCAAGCATTCTGCCGGACAATGGGCGTTGCTTCTCTCCCTTCCCTCTCTCTCACTTAATGACCATTCTTGAAAAGAAGAATTTTAATGGGATAGGTTGCTTGCATTACCAATTTTAAACTAAATTTTAAGCTAAATTACCAAAGATTACCACATTTTAAGCTAAAATTGGAACAAGTTTAATAAAATTTTACCATGCTAAAAAAAATCAGCTTAAGAAATATATATAGTCCCTGTTCAATCCAATTCTCTAGGCCTTCCTTAAATTCACACCAGCACATGCTAAGTGAGCATTATCCTACATATATTTGCAAGAGCATTTGGTAGCCACTAGTTGGAAGAAAAGTCTGAAAGTTGTACTTGAAGTTTCACAGATGAACGCAGAAAACGATTCTCTTTACTGTCCATTATTATATAGAGTGGCATGCAAATTACTTAACAAAGAGTTTAAAATTAATTTCCATAAATCAGAGATGTAGAAAGTATGGCTTGTGGGACTTAATATAGCTTGCTAAGATCTGCTTTGTGCCCAGCAGAGCTCTTTTTTAAGTAAATGGTAACAAATATGCACATTTAATAGTGTTTGAAGCAGAAAATGGTATCTAATCCTTCAGATGGTGAAAATACTTATTCCCTCTCTCCAAGCTTTGTAACTACCTCCCATTCAAGCTACAGGCCCCACCCATTTTTAAAAAGTTGGCTTTGATGTGCTATATTAACCTATATGTGGCTCTCCATTTCAATTCCTGCAGTAGGGTATTGTGAATAATCATTGCTTCAATTACCCCATTTTTCTTTAGCTAAAGTTGTCTTCCAGTAGTTCTGCAAAGTATGAATTTCAGAGGCAAATGTTCCTAGAGAACAGAGTAAATAGGATGAGAGACAAGGACACTATTTATAAGGGAACTGAAATCCTAGAAACATATGAGATAAAATGATAGGATATCTATGTGGTAATGGCTATCTCAGAAGAGGTTTTAATTATGAAGTGTATAGAATCTTAACGTTGTAGGTAAGGAGCTAATAATTGAGGTTTATGATGGTTATCAAATGTAGATTGTTAACCAAATAATGATCTACAAAAGCAAGAACTTGTATGAGCTATGAATAGCTTTGTTGTGCATTTTGTTAGTAGTAGTAGTAATAACAATACTATTTTACAGTGTTTGCAATGCAATCTCGGCTTTGCCAGATGGAGTGTCTGGAGTGGAAACCTGCAGTGAGAGAGCAACCATATCATTTCATCCTCCTGACTGTTTTTGGCTTTTGCACTGATGTTAGGACAAACCACCACAACAAAGCATACATATGGGTGTATGTTGACAATGGCTTCTTGAACTCGTATATACTCTGAGAGCAAGTTTCCTTAGTTACTTGGCCTTGTGAAATCCCATCAGGGGAATCTGATTTCATTTTATGGCAGTAGTATGAGTAAAACAGTAAAGCTTTAAAAAAAAAAAAAAGGAAAGGAGTCCCTGCAGATTTTACTCTGCTAGCCATTGTTGACTAGAGAGGATGGGCCTCATCTCTGTTTCAAGGCTATTGAGCCAGCACTGTCCAAAGACATTTCCGCAGTCGTGGCCAGCATGATGTCACAGAGCACTATAGTATGAGTACATATCATTTTTAATGGAGTTATAATCCTGCCCACTCAGTGATGTCACATCTGCATTTCCTCCAGAAATGCTGTAACATCTTATTGCCTGACCCAGAAATGCTTTTGTTTGGTCTGTAATTGATAGAAGGGGGGTTGTTGATTGTTAGCTGTTGACAATGACGCTTTTGTCCCGTGTTTTGATTTACTGTTCTGTAAATTTTTGACTTGAGGTGTAGGGGCATCCAATGATCACACAGTATTCTAGTTGCTTGGCGCCACTTCCTCCATCCGGCATTGACATGAGTGCAGGTATCCAGAAAGCTATTGCTGTCACTGCATATGAGGGAGCCAAGGAATAGCTTTAAATTCTTCAGGTCTTCACCACCAATGCTGATGGTTCCATCAGTTTGGGAGCAACTGCTATATATTCCATTTTCTTGATGTTCAGTTGAAATCCAAATTTGCTGAGCTGTTCTTTAAAATTGCTACGTTTGCTCTTCGGAGTCTTCCTTTTCATTCACCAAGAAGACATCATTGGTATAGAAGAACGACCATGGATGGGACGATTGGAGGTCAAACATCACAGTGCCCATGCAAAGGATGAATACTGTGGGATGCGATCAAAGGCCTTTTCCAGGTCAAGGAATGTCATGTGGATGGACTTGGAGTTCTCACAGTGCTCTAAAAGGAACCAAGCAGTGAGAATGGGATCCATTGTTCCCTTTCACAAAGCCACATTGGTTTGCAGTAATGGAGAAGTAATCACTCCATTGGTGGAGGATGACTTGAAGGAGTCGATGGTCCTCATATGTACTTGATTTGGCCAATATCTTAAATGGCTTGATGACATGCCTTGGCCAAGAGGCAGATTTTCTTTTTTCATTTTGGGCATGTCCAACTTATCATATATGTAGTCGTAATAAACAACCTTGGCTGTTGCTACAGCTCTCTGGCAACCGATTTTTGCACCTTGTCATGCTGGAGATTTTTATTGATGTGGGACTGGAACAACATTTTTAATAGCTTCTTCACAGCTATTTGCACTTCTTCATTCCTCCACCAAGTTTGTTTATGGATGGCTCATTTCCCTGGCTTTGTGAAATTTGTGAAATTCAGCATTGAACATTCAGCAAACAACTGATCAACAACTTGAAGAAGCACAAACGAATAGTTGTCCTGTCTCAGAATTGTTAGAGTACATAGAACTTATTGATAATTGGGTGAATAAGGAAATCTTCCTTACATTTTTATTATTTGGAGCTTAGTTCACATCAATATTCCCAATGATGTAGTTTTCTAAAAACCTACATATGGTGTGTGAAGCTTCCATTTGTCTGAGCAGTAAGTGCTAGCGGTGGCATATGAAGCCCCATTTGTGCAAGTAGTGGGCGCTGGCACTGGTGCTCAGAACTCCATTTGTGTGAGCGGCGGGCACGCCCGCCACTCATATAGAACCATTCCCTCACCCCCTCCGCTAGTCCGCCAAGCTATAAAGGTTGAGGATTGCTGTTCTACGTGATAACTCCATTTAAAAATGATATGTACTCATACTCCTTACAGTCCTTAGCTAATGTATGGTTTTATTTAATTTGAGAGTTGGTTTGGGAAGGTAAGAATGGATTTTTATTGACATGGACTAGGCACTGATTTATAAGACTTTAAAATAAAATAGAGGTGCATGAGATTATCACTAGCTGCTATTGGCTAAAGGACCGACTTTTCACAGTGGAGAAAGCTTGTTCTTTCCTAAGCCACAACATGGCTAGTTTTTGAGGAGCAAGTTAGTTGCTCAGCTGCTGCAATATCTCAAGGTTTTAATGGAGGTAAAAGAGCCACAAAGAGCTGAAGCATTACTGAAAAACGTGGTTAATGGTCATACATTTCACATTTTATGATCTCCATCTCGAATGTTTTTAGCAACTATTGTGTGAGGGTATTTTAATTATGTCATATATTTTACTAGGAGGGAAAGTAATTGTTGCATATTTTCAAATTGGAGACCTCATTTTAGAGAAGATGGCTGTATACTGGGCAAATCACAAAATGCAATGTTTGTCTGTCTTTTTCTCTATGTATACATGTTCTTTAAAGAGTGCACATTATTTTTTTGAAAATAAAAAAATGTAATTTTCAGAATCTAAAGAATCTTATTTTGATGCTTAAGATTTTGAAAACCAGTTTCTCGAAGGAAAACTGTATGTATCTCAATGTAGAACCACTTATTTGTGTGTGTTTTTGTTTATATTTGTTTACTGATATTTAGTGATTGTGTTTTTCAGATGTTCAGTGTTTGTCCTTGTTGCAATCTGAAATGCCATTAAAATATTCAGCAGTTTCTGAATTTGCATTTTTAATTAGCTTCAAATGACATGATTTACAAAAGTTCTGTTTTGGTCTCCTAATATTCTGCCTTAAAAGACTTTTCTCTATTTCAATCTTACTAGATTTTCTTCTGCTATTAAAAAGAAAAACTAGATTATAGAGAGTCACAGGAATATTACAGAAAGCAATAGCCATGGGTATCATTATCCCTTCTATGTTATAATACCTGTATCTACGAAATGTATGGTGTCATCAACCTGATTTTGACTAATTGACTAATTGGCTTCACTAATTGGCTTTTGGCTCAAGACTGGAAAAACAACAGTGTCATGCCACTCGTATTTCTATATGTATTTTAAAATAGTATTTTTTATTAAAATGTTTAACTACAAAAATAAAAGATAATACCAACTAAAACTAAAAAGTCAAACAAAAAAGAAAAATTGAAAGAGGGAATAAAAGGTATAAAAAAGAAAAACAGAAAGAAAAAATACAGAAGCCCCTTAAGAAAACAATTCCTATTTCATCACAAGACTAAACAGTTTCACTATCTCTTTACCTTCTCTTAATTATCAAATTTAAAACTCATCATCCCATAACTCAACTCTTAAGTACAGGCAAGTCCAATAAATAACATGTTTTTCAATCCAGGGTCAACAAAAAATCCAAACAGATCCCTAATATAATACATTCTTTTAACAAATAAAAAATTAACTGTTCCATATCTTGACTCTTAACTCTTAAGTAAATCCAATATACCGTATATACTCGAGTATAAGCCGAGTTTTTCAGCCCATTTTTTGTGCTGAAAAACCCCCCCCTCGGCTTATACTCGAGTCAGATTCCCCTCTGAAAAAAAAATGGTGTGGAGCTCCGGAGCTGGGCAGGCGCTTCCCTGCTTCTGTGTTTCCTTTGCAACTTTTAAGCATGGGGGTAATCGGAAGCAGAAAAGTTCTTGCATGAGGATATATTGTTTTCTCTTTTTTTAACTGTTTTTAGGGGGGGGGAAGACCCACCGTCATGTGAGAATGCTCAGACACGAAATCTATCCGCCCGAAAATAAGTGTGTGTGTGTGTGTGGGAGGAATTTTAACAGAGGGAAGATGTAGGGAGAAGGCAAAAGCGACGGAAGATCCTTCAGGGGAAACTGAGGGGGAGACTCACCCTTGGTCCAGATGAGCCCCCTTCCCAGCCCCTAAGGAAGCAGAGGCAGCCAGCAAGGGCAGGCAAGCCCCGCTTCACAGACTCCGTCCTTCCTCACTCCCACCCAAAGCCACGAAGTCCCCCAATCGCGCAGCCCAGAATCG